CACCCCGCCTTTTTGGATGAGTACCGCTGCGCATTCACCCATTACCCTGAGTTTCAGTCCATCTACACTAACCTACAGGCTAGCAAGTTCGTCCCTAACTTCCAGCTCGAGCCCTCAGGACTCCTATACTGGCTTGGCTGCCAAGGTACCCGTACTCCTCGCTTATGTGTGCCCTCTACTGGCCGGCTCCGTGTTCGGGCTGTCGCTGAGTGTCACGACCAGCGCGCCGCCGGTCATCTCGGTGTCTTTAAGACACTCGACCGCCTTTACCGCCATTACTACTGGGAGCACCGTCGTCCTTTCTTTAAGGAGTACGTCCTGAACCTGCAGGATCTGCCAGGAGGCCAACATTCCCAACCACCCCCCCTATGGTCTTCTTCAACCCTTACCCATTCCTACTTAGCGTTGGACTTCTGTCTCCATGGACTTCATTGGTCCTCTTCGTCCCCCTACCCCACGAGGCCACAACGCCATCTTCGTCATTATCTGTCGGTTGACTAAGCATGCTCACTTCCTCCCTTGCAAGTATGCTAGTTCAGCCAAAGACATCGCCTCCCTATACTTCAACCRTATTGCMATYCAYCAYGGTCTTCCCACTAKCATCGTCTCYGAYCGCGMTCCCCGCTTYACTTCTCATTTCTGGCGTGGACTCCATGAGATCTAYGGCTCCGAGCTCYGCCTCTCCTCCTCCTATCACCCCCAGTCAGATGGACAGACCRAGGTCACCAACAAAACTCTTGGGAGCATCCTCAAGAAGTTTGTTGAGAATGACTCTGATTGGGATCTGCATCTTGCTCACGCAGAGATTGCTTATAACCATGCTATTTCACCTGCCACTGGCATGTCTCCCTACTACTGTGACTTGGGATACTATCCTCGTGTTCCATCTGACCTCCTCCGTCCATCTCAGATCCATCCCGACACTAAATGCCCTGCCCTCGATGACTGGGTAAAGGAGACGGATGCGCTTCTTAGCAAGGCTCGCGAGAGCATTGCTCACTCCCAGACTTGCATGACCACTCGCGCTAAACGCTCTCGCATCGACCATCCCTTCAAAGTTGGCGACGAGGTTCTTGTCGACGCATGTCACTTCCAGCCCAAAGCTGACACACTTCGGAAATTCAGACGTCGATATATTGGACCATGCACCATTCTTGCACCTGCCGGACCTAATCATGACTGTCCGGTGAGCTTCAAATTGAAGCTCCCCGATTCCACGTAGCGCGCTAACTTACATGATATGTTCCATGTATCTCTTTCGCGCCTCTTTAGACGGTCTCCTCCTTAGTTCCATGGTTGACCTTACCCTCGCCCCTCTCCCATCACCATTGAGGGTCACGAGGAGTTTGTCGTCTCTGATATCGCATCCCGGCGTATGACTGATGGTGACCCYCCCCGCCTCGAGTATCTCGTTCGATGGAAGGGTTACCCTGACGAGGAGTCTACTTGGGAGCCTCTTGAGCACCTGAAGCATGCTATGACTTTCGTGCGTGCTTACGATCGTGCTCATCCTTTCCCTTCTTCATCCTCCCCTCCTTCTTCTCGCCCTTCTACTACTGACCCTTCTACCTCTGCGACCACTAACATTCCCCCTCCTCCATCGATGGGTCCTCCTGCTCCACCGGTACCCGTCTTAGGTCCTCCTTCCCCTGTGGATGTGGTTCCGCCTATTGTTGCAGTTCATTTCTCTCGCCCTCAGCGTACCCATTGACTTCCTTCTCGTTTTCGTGACTGATCTATATCCCCCATACACTTTTTATCTTTTACCATTCCTTGACACTTATGCAGCAGCCCCCGGTTTCAGCTTCTACAATCGGCTTCTACATTCCGCTTCTACATTCGGCTTCTACATTCGACTTTCGACCTCAGTACTTCTCCTCAGTACCAGAGTACCTGTCGCATTGTTCCAGACTTCTACTCGGTTTTTGCAGTACTCCTTCTTCATCCAGGCTATTTCGGTTCAACTTCAGTCTCGAGACTCATCAGTTGGACTACTTCACTTTTTCGGCTACAGAGTTCCCATCATTCCCACCTATCCACCACTCTCGAGCTTACCCCCTCCCTCCAGTCGCATGATGACCCATATTTTCCCTGTCTATGTGGGTGTGTCCGCTTGCCGCCCTTCTGCCTTACCTTATGCTGCGCGCCCTCCTCTGGAGTGTACGTTTTCCTTGCTCGCGGCTTCTGGCCACATGTCTATGCCGGCATAGCCCTCCCTCCTTCCAGACTCACCTTATGTGTGCTCCCTTGTGTGAGTGTCCTTCCTCCCTTTCAGCTGGCGGTACCCCTTTGATGGTTTCCATTGAGCCCGGTGCCGTGCTGTTACTCTCCCTCTGAGCCTGAGGACCCTTACCTGGTTGTGTGGGTGCCCCCTTGGAGTTTACTCTGAGAGTTGTACCTGCCGCCTTCCCACCCATTCCTACCTCTGCCATGCGACTGAGTTCTTTTCTCTTCTGTTCAGGTATTGTGAATTATGTACAGGGCACGTGAGATTGTGCCACATTCTTTTCGACGTAGGACATTGGCTTAGCTATTCTTTGGTGTTGATTTATATTCAACCTATTTGGCTCATGAGACATTTTTCTCTTTCTTGGCCGACACAGGTTAGACATTTTTCTCCTTCTTGGTCGACACAGGTCAGACATTTTTCTACTTTTTGGGTTGACACAGACCAGACATTATGGTATAGATTAGGCTTGAGGCTTAGCCTGCATTGCATCCCTTTTCCTGCATGGAGCCTGCTCCGCATCTAGGATTGTTTCTTTTGCCGTCCTTTTGGGTTTCCGCTATTTCAGCGGATAGCGTGTTTGATGTATCACTTGATCCGTTCACAGGTCCGAGGATCGTGTAGCGGTACCCCTACGGCCCGGCAGTGAGACCGGACCAGTTTCAGGCCGTCGGCCTGACCCTGGTCCGGTACCA